TGGGAATCCCCCGGCAGCCTACGTCTATTGCAGCATAACTAAGGGAGGATTCAGGGTCACCTGGTCCAGCCCTAACTATATGCTTTAGCAAAAAGGAAAGTTTTAAGCCTAATCTTGAAAGTAGAGATAGTGTCTGTCTCCTGAATCCAAACTGGAAGCTGGTTCCACAGAAGAGGGGCCTGAAAACTGAAGGCTCTCCCTCCCATTCTACTTTTAAATACTCTAGGAACAACAAGTAGGCCTGCAGAGCGAGAGCGAAGTGCTCTAATAGGGTGATATGGTACTACAAGGTCATTAAGATAAGATGGGGCCTGATTATTTAAGACCTTGTATGTGAGGAGCAGGATTTTGAATTCAATTCTGGACTTAACAGGAAGCCAATGAAGGGAAGCCAAAACAGGAGAAATATGCTCTCTCTTTCTAGTCCCTGTCAGGACTCTTGCTGCAGCATTTTGGATTAGCTGAAGGCTTTTCAGTGAGTTTTTTTGGACATCCTGATAATAATGAATTACAGTCGTCCAGCCTGGAAGTAATAAATGCATGAACTAGTTTTTCAGCGTCACTCTGAGACAGGATATTTCTAATTTTAGAGATGTTGCGCAAATGGAAGAACACAGTCTTACATATTTGTTTAATATGTGCATTGAAGGACATGTCCTGGTCAAAAATGACTCCAAGGTTCCTCACAGCGTTACTGGAGGCCAAGGTAATGCCATCCAGAGTAAGAATCTGGTTAGATACCATATTTCTAGGCCTTTCAGGGCCGAGTACAATAACCTCAGTTTGATCTGAATTAAGAAGCAGAAAGTTAGCGGCCATCCAGGTCTTTATGTCTTTAAGACATTCCTGCAGTTTAACTAATTGGTGTGTGTTATCTGGCTTCATGGACAGATAGAGCTGGGTGTCATCCGCATAGCAGTGAAAATGTATGCTATGTCTTCTAATGATACTGCCTAAGGGAAGCATGTATAGTGTAAACAGAATTGGTCCTAGCACTGAACCCTGTGGAACTCCATAATTAACCTCAGTGTGTGAAGAGGACTCTCCATTTACATGAACAAATTGGAGTCTATTAGATAGATATGATACAAACCACTGCAGTGCAGTACCTGTAATACCTACAGCATGTTCTAATCGCTCTAATAGGATATTATGGTCGACAGTATCGAATGCTGCACTAAGGTCTAGCAGGACAAGCACAGAGATGAGTCCACTGTCAGAGGCCATAAGAAGATCATTTGTAACCTTCACTAAAGCTGTTTCTGTGCTGTGATGAGCTCTGAAACCTGACTGAAACTCTTCAAATAAGCCATTCCTCTGCAGATGATCCGTTAGCTGTTTGACAACTACTCTTTCAAGGATTTTTGATATGAAAGGAAGGTTGGAGAGAAATCACTACTTAGAGCTGGGCGATAGAACGATAACGATATGTATCGCGATATAACTTTTACTCGATAGAGAAATTAAGCTATCGCGATAGACCTCGCCGCTCTTGTCCTCTTAAAAAAAAAAAAAAAAAAAAAAAGGTCAGCCAATCCAAATCAAGTAGCGCAGAGCCGAACCAATCACAGCCGCAGTGTCACGTCGCGTCACTTGTTACGTACAGCACAAGTGCCAAGCCGCACGTGTGTTTGTTTGGGAAGCAGCCAGCAGGTAATGGAGCCAGCGCATAATGGAGGAAATGAGTGTGCCGACTAGAAAAATCAACCGAGCGTGACCGAAGAGAAAACCAATGATGGTTCCAATGCCGGAGAGATTGTCGAACGGAAGAGCCAAAGAAGTTCTGTAGTGTGAAGGTATTTCGGCTATTTCAAGTCTGACAAAAAACAGAGTAGCGTGCACTGTAAATTGTGCCGAAAGCAAGTCTGGAAATACAATAAACTGGTGCATGCGTCACACTGTGCGCCACGTTATTGTTTCGGTGAAATGAATTTCTACAAAACTGTTACTGTTAATTCTACTCTCTGCAGTGTTTAAATGCTTACATATACACACAGTTACTGTCCGTCCACACATACGACTCGGTTCTGCTTCTATGCCCCAGCTTTGTTTACTTTTTCCCACCGAGGCTTCTAGACTTCTGATTGGCCAACATTTCTGCACGGTTAGGAATCTAGTGCCACCTGCTGCTTTGGCATGTTCATAGCAGCGTTTTCCTTCATTTCTGCCTTTATGTGTGGACGGGATTATTTTCTAAAACGAAAACGGAAAATCTCCGTTTTCAAAAATACCCGTGTACGTGTGGACGTAGCCTCAGTCTCTGACTGGAAGCGCTAATTCGTCATTCGGCTTTTGTCAGACTAAAGTAACTGTTAAAACTGTTTGAAAAGCTAAGCTATACAACAAGGAGAGATTGAGAATTTCCTTTTAGTTCTCAGTTTATTTGATATTGACAAAAATTAGTCAGTTTTTTCTGTTCTTCTGTAAAACAAACTAAGATTTATTTTTAGAATTAATATTTTGTTTCTAAGTGGAATTGACAATTTAGTCTGTTTCGTTTGTTCTATTTTGAAACTTAAACGCTTTAGCGGCTGCCTTTTGTGTAGTTTGCAATATTTGCCTTTATTTATCTGAAAAAGTCTCATGTTCCTTAAGTACATCTACCCTGTTGAACTTATTATGGGAAATAAATATTTAAATAAAAACAAGCTTCTGATTATTTCACATTTTACTTGTGAGCAACGGCACATTTAAATCTTACAAATATAGTTATTTGGCTCATATCGTGATAGATATCGTTATCGCCTGAAATGAAAAAAACATATCGTGATATGAAAAAATCTCATATCGCCCAGCTCTAGTGAAAAGACTAAAGCGCGAGGTGTCAGGTAAAGGTGATGAGTGTCTCAGCACATACAACAGGATAGAATTAAATTATGTTAAAGGATCCACCAGCTCATTCACGTTTGATTTGTGTGACGTCATTAAGTGTGCAGGAGCTAGTAGCAGCTGGAGAGCATATGATGTGTGGGTCTGTAATCACCCTATGATATGCTCCAGTCATGTTTATTGGAGCCCCTCCTGGGGCAAACACATCCATACATACACAGCAGGTCAGTGGTGCTCCTGGGAAAATGTGGTAGGTTGGACAGGAGTAGGATGGCAGTCACATGTCCCGGAAGGCCTGCAAGGAATAGTAATTCAAAGGGTTTATTCTGTTTTTCATAACCCTGTCACCATCTTCTTAGGTCCATGGAATATACTGCCTAAAGCCGAGAGCCCGGGAGGCGTATTCTATCTGGTAATCGGGGTGGACGTGTCAGGAACAGATTCGTTTGGGGTAATTAGGGTACACTTAGTTTACCCCAAAGCCTGAGTCGCACTTAAAAACTCAATGACAAATCTAACTGATAAACTAATAATCTCGGCACCAAACACGATAGGGCAAGCAGAGAATGCCAATTCATTTATGCCAAAACAAGATAACTATACATGTTTCAAGTTTTCTAAAGATAATGTAAAGTACCAGGTGGGAGAAATCGACCCTACTTGGTGTGCCGTCACACCCACCGGAAGAACCACGAATAATGTGAGTGACCCGAGCACATTAATTAGAACATGGACAAGAAGTGGGTTGTATTATTATTGTGGGCAAAGCACCCTTTTGGTTCGTGTCCCAATGGGAAGCGTAGGGACCCCGGAGCGGTCGTTCCGGTGTTCCAGTGTCCATTGAGGAACTTAGATGCCATAGAGTGGGCTGAGGAGTGATACAACACGAGGTGTGGTGACATTTCTTTTGGAATGTCAAAAGAGGGAATGTGGAGATACAGAAATTCTTTCATTGCTGCCATATAATCTGTATCATTATAATTGCATTAATAACATTCTTTACAGCATTATTTCATTTAATAATATTTCTTACAGTATTGATATTGCATTTGAGGATCCTTTTATTATGTTTACTTTTATTACAGGTACAGCCAGAAGTATTTTATACACATTGCATAAATATTTGTGCTCATTCAGAGTTGTTGCATTAGTCTACAGAGGGTCTCAAGCTCTGTCTGGCTTAGTGCATAAAAGGATAACTGCAATGCATGCTTACAGTACATATAATACATATAATCTAGGAATGTATCCGGCCTGAGGCCTTAACTCATTTGGTGTCTTACTATATTTTATTCTACTTGGTAACAGACGATCAGAGTCAATAATTAGCCTCAGAGACCCTGAGGGCTTGAAGTTTATTACCTTGTATGGAAGGTGTTATCGAAAAGAGAAGTTCTATGTCTGCTTATAGCTATTAAAAATGTACGATTAACGGTGACTAATGTCACGGGGGGGCGTGTACCCCACTGCTTTATAAGTATCCACAACATGTATTTTGGTCAGAGGACATATGCTGATGTTTTCTCGCGTGTGTTAATAAACTCATCGTTTGATTGCACTTTTCTGGGGCTTCCGTGGTTTGTGACACTGCTCTACATTGATCGATTTCGCGTCTTTCATGTCCTCTTTAATGAAGCAGGTTGAGATTTCTTTAGACTGGCATATGTTACATTTGTCCTAATCTTTAATCTGTATTACTGGATAACTGAGAACTGACACGGGTGGCATAAAGCAATAAAATCTGGAGAACACAATTGTCAGATATTTGGTATTATTTTTGTATTTTGCTGTGTGCACAGAACGGAAGCCACACGTGTGCTGTGTGGGACTCCCCCACCCAAAAAAACAAGAAAAAAAAAAGAAATAAGAAAGATTATAACTGTAATAGACAAAAAAAAGCTTAGATCCCTATTCTTCGTGTTTTTTTTTATGTTTATGCAAAATTAGAACATTTTAAATGACGCAAACAGTCACGGTCTGTTTGCTGGTATGCGTAAATCACACTATCGCTGTCGTTTTAACTCTCGTTTCTCCCTAAGTTTCCTTTTCTTTCTTCTTCTTCTAAAACAGATCCGTTGCTGCGCCTTCTCATGGGTCAAAGCATGTGTCACTCACGTGGTTTGCCCAATGAGAAGACCGAGCGAGGACGAAGAGGCGGAGCGTGACGCAGATCGAGTCTTGGAAAACCACACGCAGCAGCGTTCAAGATTTAGTTGTTTCGTTTCCCACCTGCTGAGCTGACCGATCAGGCAGACAAACATCGATAAAGGTATTGATCGATTGGTTTGGGAGATGATTTCGCAGCGAGCGTTTCTGCCACGCTGTGATCTATTTGAAATCAAAAAGACTACTAAACCTTTTAAACGCAATACTGGCTGCTTAATGCGCATTAACGGATTAAATAGAGTGAAATAGTAGAAACTAACACAGCAGCACAGAAAACGTTTGTATTGTATTTTTAAATGCGCATAATCTGCCAGGCCTGCTCGGAGTGGTGAGGGAATTCTGCTTTTTGCACTTTACAGACTTTCACCGTGTGTCCAGCTCAACGATCCGCTGATCATCATCATCATGGCTCTGGATGGATGTGGCTTGTTCTGCAAATATATCCTCATCATTTTCAACATCATCTTCGCGGTAAGTCCGGCTCGATTTTAATACTGCGTGGTTAATTACGGGAGGGTAGAGGGAAAGGCCAAGCATGGCTTTCGTTTTCTTTCGCCTGTTTTGTGATCAATTCTTGAGATAAACGGGCAGAAAAAAGGCGTTTGTTTTTTTACATGAAGGATTAAAAGTTGTAATTTTGCGATGAAACAGGGGTGTTGTGCCAAAAAGTGGTTTCTGGTATTTGCCAAACAATTTGAACTTCTATTAATGAACTGTTGGACTCTAATCTGTAAAACACATTTCAAGTTGCAATAAATATAACAATAGTTCTCCAAAGATATTACAGGTGGTCTGGACTGGAATGGTTACAATGTGGGTACAATAAAAGAGTCTTACAGATACTTACAAAACAGGTCATTTATTTTATTTATAATCCCATAAATCACATTGGCTACAGTTAGTTTACTGATATAAGCAAAGACATTACACAAAATTAAAAAAAACAACCCACGTAGAAACGTAGACTGTTTTGCACACGATCACTTTTTGGAACAACACCAGGTTTCCTTGTGGTTTCGTTTCTTAGGATACCAAGAGAGGTTACTTTCATTTTCAGGAATCACCTTTACCATCAGTGTAAACTGTGTGCTTGGCACATCTATAAGCTGATAGGAACCCAACAGTATTTAATTTTTGAAATATATATATATATGTATGTGTGTGTGTGTGTGTGTGTGTGTGTATTAATAGTCACAAAAATAACAAAATAGGAGTTGTATGGGATTCAATTCATTTTTGTTCTTAGCTATTTAGTGGGATTTCAGAAATGTGAGGTTAAATTGTACAGACTCTTTAAAATAAGGCAGTATCTCCGATGAGTGGAAGAAGAATAAAGCCGTCTGAAAAGAAGAAGTGAAAACTTTCCTAAACAGCATGAACAATGCTGCCGCGGATAGATGATTACCCTTCACACCTCGGTGTTTTGTGCAGCAACTGAGAAACCAAATGCCACCACGTCAGAGTCTTAGCTTACACTATACTTCAAAGTCCATAATAGACTTTGAATCATGTAGTCCCCACTAAGGCTCCTCAAAAGCTGGTATGTCCTCAATCTCAGCTTTCACCTGTTTCTTTCTGACCCTCCTCCACCTCGTCTCCTGACACCACTTCCAGAGTTGTGAGTAAAATCCTGTCGGCCTCATTTAGCCATCACATCGTTCTGTGACCAAACAAGACCTGAAACATGTTTCTATGAAACACGATATGTAAATTATATGTAATAAATGTAAATATTTAAAAATAAAATCTTTTGAGTGCCGGACAAAAAGACTGATACAACATGGTATCACTGCGACATTTTCAACTTCTTTAATTCTATAAACTCTGTCTTATTGCAACATTTGTAGCAGGTTTCAGTGCCAGTGTTGGTATCCTTGACAATCAAAAAAAACAAAGTGAGAGAACTTTATGGTATTGGATAAAATACTAAATAATACTTTATACTATAATACTAAATGGTTTAACTTTTCTATTTTAACTGTTCTTCTTGGTTCTGTATGACATCAACGAGAGCAAAATCCTTAATGTGGTCATCACAGCATCAGTCCCGCCCACATCCCGTGTAAATGTTATGCTTGCGAGGGACAGCCAATCAGAAGAAAGCTGTCTTAAATGCCTGAAATGCCAATTTCTTGGTTGTTTGTCCCCTCTGCCAGCTGTTCTGCACAGTGTGAAAAACACTCATCTGTCACACAGCATGGTTTATAAATATAGACCCTAAAAACCTATATTTCAGTAACCAGATGTGAAAGTAACCAAGAATGTTGTTCATTACACTTTTGTCCTGGTTTTATTTCCTCATGTGACAGGTGGTGGGGTTTGCCTTCCTTGGACTTGGTTTGTGGTTGAGGTTCAGCGACAACACAAGAGCGATCTTCCATGTGGAGGAATTAAGCTCCAGCGCATTTGTTATGGGTCGGTGCATTTATTAGGTCGAAGAATCACGATGGTACATTTTGCTCCGATGCATATTTAACAGACAGAAACGGCCCTCTTTCCCGCTCCGTTTTGTTAACAGGTGTGACTGTGCTGATCGCTCTCGGGGCAGTGATGCTGTTTGTGGTGATGTTTGGAGACTACGGTGCCTGCAACGAGAAGAGATGCGCTCTGCAAGTGGTGAGTTGTTTTGATGGGTAATGCATGTTGGCTTACAGTCTCACTTTTCCGTAAAGATGGGTGTCAGACCAGCTGTTTCCTGTGCTGTGAACACAAAACCCTGTGTCGCACAGTGGTTACACCTTTTAAGTGTTATGGGAAAGTTTTAGGTTGCTTTTTAGGTTTAGTCAGAGAAACCAAAACAAAAATGTGTTAGTAACGTTTAGTATACCCCTAGTAATCCCATTTGGTCTCGTTTCTTAGGAGTCATTAAATAAAAATAAAATAAAATAAAATAAAAAAAACCGCCCTGAACAAGAAGTGCCCTGCAAAGACATGTTCAGAACAAGCTTAAATACCCCGCTGCTTCCTGGAGGACTCCTTTATTCATTAACTTTATGGCAAATTTTAACGTTACTGTTCAGGCTTTTATCTGTGTTTAACAGGAAGACGGTGAAACGTTTTAAAACCACCCCAGTGCCAGCATCAGAGGTTAAGGTGAATGCTGGAAATGGTGCTTAAATGTTAGAGCACATGCATCACCTACATGCTGGTGCAAATGGTAAAATCTGTGTAAAGTCGTTATTCAGATCAGATCCTTGATTCTAACGTGTACATCAAGTTCAACAAGTTGTTACAACATAATTTCTGTGGAACCACAGAGACAAGTCAGAGTGCCAGAGGAAAGTACTCAGTCTTCTCCATTCATCGATGACACAATGAAACAGGAAGGAAGGAAGGACGGCTATTTACAGAGCTTCTGCTCCCCCCATCAGTCAAATAGTCTAAGATGATATGAGATACAAGGCAGGTTAACATCATGTGGCATACTAAGTGTTAAAAGCCGACTTTGTTTAAAGTCAAACAAAAGCCGAGTGTAGCATTGTGGTAAAAACCAAAAACTTTGTTTTTATTGATGCTACTGTCATTATTGGTTCTGTTTATATAGTTGGTTCCCCATTGATTCCCCTTATTGCTGCCAGATCAGTAAGCCTACTAAGGTTTTTAGCATGAGTGCAAATATTTTATCCTATCTGAGTCTAAACACAGTGTAGAAATAGAGTGCAGAAAGGTTGGCGTGTGTCTCTGGTCTGCAGGAGCTGCACGGCTAAAAGTTTAGAGATTTGCAATGCAAAACTGTCCCAACCCCACCAATCAGACAAGGTCTTCGCGCAACTGCATTGAATTGTGCAATTCCATTCTTGGATCATGCACTAGAATATCATGACTTTAAATATTAAAAGAGGTTTATAATTGTTAGCCTCAATGACCGAAGTTAGGAACTTCAAGAAAGCTAGCTAATTGCTTTCTTTTAAAGGCAGAAGGCCAACATATGGATAAGAAAGTTTGGCCAGCTGGATAAAAGAAAAGAATCTGGTCGTTTATTTCTTTTAACCACCCAAAAGACCACACTGACTCACTGCTCCATCTTTTGGTTTAGATTGGTATTACATCAAAAGTACAGCACAGCTCGAGCTCAACTTAAGTTGATGTCTCTTCAACACAACATGCAGATGTTTTGCACATAAAGTTGCAGAATTTGTTTCTTCACATCTTGCTGAAAGCTGTAGTTACTTTTGGGAGGTCTGAAACACAGGAGTGTGCAAGCACCTTTTGAGCATCTTATATGATGCAGAGGTTTTTGAACCACTTAAACATTTGGCCTTTTGATTCAGACCTTTATCCAGGTTCAGATACACAGAACATTTGATTGCATCGTGTGAAGTGTATTGCCCAGTTGGCCTTGACAGAGGATATTTTGTAACTTTGTGTGTAATCACGCTGACGAAACAGGCAACTGGCAATAATCACACAGTGACCTCAGTTTTCTTGGCTGTTTTTTTCCCCTTTGCTGTGCAAATGTACGGTGTCCTAACTGTAAATTACATCCTCGGGTCAAGCCCTCTTGGTTTTTAAGGATGTTAAAGTTAAAGGAAATTAATGGATGTCCAGTACCAGTTAAATGTTTTGCTCTGAAATCTTCAGGCTGTATCAAACCTGCAGGAAGAATCCCAGATGCAAGGAAGGGATAGGGAATTTGAACATTTTGTCAAGCTTGAAACAGGTCCTTGTTAGAATTTACTGCAATGTTAAGCCTCGTCTTCTCTTGATGCACCCACATAAAACTGGAAAAGCTGTTTCACTTCCTGTTCCTATGTGTTTAAAAGTGTTTAAGTTAACAGAGTTCTTCCTGTCCCTTCAGTTCTCCGCCCTTCTGGCCATACTGGCTACACTGGTAGTTGTTGTTGGAGTGCTTGTCAACATTAAAAGCAATGAGGTGAGAGAAAATACTGATAAAAGGGATGAAAATCAATTAATGTGTCCAGTATGTCCTGACCATAAGATTGTGTTTTGATCTCTCATGTTAAAGGTTGGACTCAGGTTTGCCGAGTTCTATGCTAGCTTGTATACTCTCTATGTGGCCAATCAAGACCCAGGAATTGCTGTCACACTCACCTTCCTCCACAACACTGTACGTATATAAGCTGCTGTTTTTCATTTTTACCTAATACTAAATTTTAACTCTTACTTCCTGTATACTCAAGTCTTTTCTGCTTTATGCATACAAGTTATATGGCTGATACACACCGAGAAGACGTCACTGTCAGCTGTTTCCATCAATTCCTGTGGAAGCAGTAAAGGTGTTTAGTTTCTCCACAGGGCTGCGCAGGGTAGTGTTTAAGACTTGTTTTTTGCCTCCCTTCACCTCTTCCTTCATCTGCCTGCTTTGCAGCTTCACTGCTGTGGATTAACTGGCGTCTCCATAATAGAGCTCGTTAAGCAGACCTGCCCCGAACCAGATGGGTTTTTTGAACACATCAAGATGGATGTAAGTTGGTGCCAATAAATGAAGCCGTTTACAGTGGTCCTGCCACCACTGCTTTACCTCTTTCACTCAGCTGTACTGTACTAGATGCTCAGTTTGTTCGGTCTTCCTGCAGAGCTGTCCTGGCGTCATTGCAGATGTCTTTATCGGTAAAGCACCAATGATGATGGGCATCTTCGTTGGAACTGGAGTGCTCCTGGTAGGCAAATAATGCATGTTTACTTTGCAACAAGTAAAGCTTCAAATGAGTTGGCAAATGCTACAAATAGTAGGGAAGAAGATAGCACAGTCTGTTGTTCCTGTTACTATTAGTCTATACACAGTACTAAAGGTTCTATATTGTTGTTCATGTCAATGGCCATACATTAATCACTTTGCACTCTTCTCTCTTAAATACTTCTTTCCCCTCCCTTTTCAAACTTTTTCTTCTCATTTTATTTCCCCAATCATTCCAAAGTTCATTGCTCTGATTTGCAGCATTACCCTCAGCAGAAAGATCGTTTCTGCCTCAACACCTCAGTACATTATCCTGACTCAGACCACTTCTACTCAGGCTAACTTTCTGCCAGCTCAGCATGAAGTAGTCACCAGCACACGTGCTGACCAGGAGCCGGTCTTTTTCACTCCTCTCAGCGCAGCCAACATCCCTGTGGCTTATGCTTAGTGCACTCTTCATTCTCACTGCGCTTTTCTCGCCATTTTGATTTTACTCCACATTGCTTTAGTGTGAATTACACATACTCTATCTGCTGCTCTCAGCATTGTCTCAAATTTTTATCATTAGTTATAGGAGAAATCCAACCTAACACACACACACGACTCAGCTTACAGTTGACAGGTTTGACAGCAGATCACAGCATTTAGCAAATGAGTTTTCACATTTTTAAATCACCAAAGTTGCTTCATCTGCAGAAGGATTGACATTTGCTGGCAAAACAGTATAAGAAACCCTCTGGCGCTCTGAATATTCCCTCCACCACTAGTCAACTCTTCAATCTTTACTTTAGTGCCTTTAAACACACACGGCCAGTATATCAACAGGGTTGGATTTGTCCTGTTTGTTTCGACTTCTCTCTCACACTTTCTCAAACACTTCTGTAGCTGCGTGCTATCTGATTGCTGTGGCTGGAAGGTCTAGCCTCCTTCACACTCTTTCACCTGTTGCTGGTTCAGTTCTTGGGATGATGTAGTGGGTTGGTCATTGCATAGCTCTTTATCCCATCCCTGCTCTTTACTTGCCCTCCTCCTTTGTCTGCACAACAGATGATGGCCATGGTCTGCACCATAGTTCTCCTGAACCAGCTCAAGAATGCCCATCAGGAGAGGACAGTGTACTACTCAAATGTGTACTAAGAGGCGGATTAGGGTTTTACACCCTTAACCACCTCCTGTCAAAGGCCACTGCTTTACATACAAGCAGCACATCAGTGTTTACATATTTTCCTTTAGCTATGATTACATTACTTCAGAACCATATTTTGATTAAAAGGTGTTTTTTTTTTAGACATTTAGCTTAATAAATCCTGTAACATGTGCACTAACCTGACAGGCCTCTAGATTATTGTGGCCAAACCCAGCCATGAGAACACATTAACAAATTCAGCTGGTAAAACATGAATTTTATTTTTTTTTAAAACATTTTTTCTCCTGAAAAGTTACGCTGTTTATTTATGAATGAGTATTAGGGCCACGTTAAAGGGGGAAGAGAAACAACGTGGCCATGAGCATACGGACGCTGAAGGTGCAGAAAGATGCATCTGGTTAAAATGAAATAGCTTGAGATGGACCGATGCAAGGACATTTATGGTCACACTTATGCAGTACAGATGTTGTACCAAAAAAAACACAAGTTTCATCAGCTTAACTCAATGAGGCAGTCTATAGAATAAAAAAAAAAAAAAAAAAAAAAAAAAAAAAAAAAAAAAAAGACAAAATCTCCACATTTTCATTATTATTAATTTTGAGAATCGTTCCCCCCTTCATGTGACCCTAAAACTAATAGTTTGTGTCTGTTGCACACAGTAAAAGTCACTGGATATGGTGAAAGTCACTGGATATGGTGAGTCATGACTGTTAAAAGGGAGTCAGTGTATCATCTTTGTTATAGTAGAGGTCCAATTACAGCAAGGTGTAGCATGGTGGGTGTCATCGCTCTAATGTGAGCTTCAATTTCACATTACTTTTTAGTGGCTGTATACTAGAGTATTGTTAAGAAGTGCATTCCTTTTAGATTTCTGGTAGAGGTTGCAGAGGGCCAAAGAGCAGGTCAAAAAACAAGAACAGCAAAAAAGACAGCCAGGTACCCGAGAGGTTCAGTTTTAGGTCAAACTGTTTAAACATTCCAGACTCAATGCTTCAGAAGACTTGTTTCTGTAAAAGCTTTCATCCTGAGAAAAGGGGAAAAAAAAAATAAGCTCACATTTCATTCCTTTGTATTTTGCTTGTTAACATTTTTTTTTTTTTTTAAATGACACAATGTTAACCGTCTTGCTGATAAAAAAATAAAATAAATTTCAAAGGCTAAATGCCTCCAGTTGTCTGTCACTTGTTTTCTTGCCCTGTACTACTTATTTGTACTATTTAGTTATAGAAGCAAAACCTCCAGAGACACTCGTTTCCATTAAGCGACAAAAATCAAGTTGCACTTGTGTAATACTCTTTATTTCGTTGCTTACACACCAGTGTTTGGACCTGTGGAGGAAAAAAAAAATGTTAATGTAGTCATTTCACGTAATAAATGAGAAACACTGAGCACTTTATTAGGAACACTGGGTAGCTGTGTGAAACCTGACCAGGTGGTTTCTGTGAATGGAAACTCCAGTAATATGAGCTCCAAGGATAATTTATGTAGCTACATTACTGATCACACCATGCTTTACAACTTTAAGTTTATCGCAGAATGACAGCGGAGCAGGAAATCATGCCACCCTCCACTTTTTGTATTTAACCTCTTTTATATTTACAAAAAAAAAAACAAAAAAAACCCCACACTGGTAAGGCTTCTGGCTTTGGTGTAATGTCTCAGAATTGTACTTTTGGCTCGTTTAACCACCAAATAACCAGCGCAACGACCCATCTGGGTATTGTTACTGCATGTGGTTTGCAACAACAATGGCAGCAAGGTCACAAACCCCTCACGGATCAAACAGAAAACTTTGCAATGTGTTAGAACAGGAAGTACATAATGTGCAAGTCTGCATCATTGTGATTTCAGCAGACTAGAATCTGAAAGCATTTCCCATCCTCTTAGTTTTTTTGGATATTAACTAAGGGTTTGAGAAAAATATTACATTTAAAATGGGGCGATCGTGGCTCAAGAGTTTGGAGTTCGCCTTGTAATCGGAAGTTGCCTACTGGTGGTGGTCAGAGGGCCCGGTGGCGCCAGTGTCCGGCAGCCTCGCCTCTGTCAGTGCGCCCCAGGGTGGCTGTGGCTACAATGTAGCTTGCCATCACCAGTGCGTGAATGGGTGTGTGAATGGGTGGATGACTGGATGTGTAAAGTGCTTTGGGGTCCTTAGGGACTAGTAAAGCGCTATATAAATACAGGCCATTTACCATTAAAAATGACAGATTTCTGCCATTTCCCCCCCACTTTGTTATGTTTTCACAGAGTGAAAAATGATTTGATACACAAACTTAGGCAACATCAGTAATCGGCTGTAAACCCTCTGGCGTCAACGACTGCTGAAGCTCAAGGAAACTGACAAAAAAAAAAAAAAAAAAAAAAAAAAACCCCAAAAAAACTTAAGAATTTTTACATTTGGCTTCAGATGCTTTCAGGTCCTGTTTGTTTTTGAAACTTTCTGCCTCAGGTAGTGAAAAGTGTTGAGACCAACTTCCCCGTTTAGGCACATTCTTTTATTTACCGGGTTCACGTGTTTAGTTATCGCCCATCAGTACCCAGCGGTGCCTTGGCCTTTGTAGTTTAAGAAGTGCCGTTCAGGTTGAGCATTAGACTGAATCTCAATGGAACGTCGAGTTCCTTTAGCGCTACATATACACAGTCATGCTACAACACGGCCTCCACCACACTGAACAAGTGATTCTTTAGAGCTTGTTCTTTGCTTCAAGTTCATCATTCTTTCCAAAGAAGGCGTTTATTTAGATGCGATGAGCTAAGTCTCACCTGGCCCCTCTGTTTTTGACTATTACCACATTACACAATGTAAATGTCAACTTGTGTCATCATGTTCTGAGGTTTTCCTGCACATTTGTTAGCAAATTTTCAACCACTGAATCCTTATCGCTTCATCGTCTACTTGGGTGACGTATAGAATGAAAAGTTAGAAAACCTTGTTTATCTAGAAGTCTGCAGATATCAGATTTTATTAACGAGTGTTTAAATTAAAACAATTTTCAGTCAGGAATCAAAACTTTTCAAAATTGGAACAAGTATTTTTATACTTTTAAATGAACAAGCTGCCCAGTGTTTCATTTCTCTTTATGGTCTTACCTTCGAGGCATCTTAGGGTGCAGTCATCAGAGCACAATTCTGTCAGGCACAAGAAGTGGATCTGAGTGAGGAGGGAAAGAAAAACCAAAAACAATAGCATTACTACCCGAGTTCACTTATCTGCACTGGGCCTGAACATGAATGCAACTTATACACAAACAGCTGTTTACTTGTGTGCATCTTAGGTGTGAAATACCTCTGGGTCTTCTCGGAGGGAGCCCCCTTTAGTCATGTGTGGTGGAAGAGAGAGGAAGCTGTAAATTGCGATCTTCCGGACCTGCAAGTCCGAGGTCGGAAGCATCTGCAAAACCCCCAGGCTGCTGCAGCTGAACGACATAATAGTGACATGCCTTTACAACCAAAGACTGACCAACAACTGGCATTAAAGAAGCCCCCTTCTTTAATGTTGGAGATTTGTGGCTGCAAGGTTGCCTTCACACAGAGTCAGCAGTAATTTTGGCAAGACAACGCAAATCTTCATTAAAAAGATCATGGCGGCTTTAAAATCAAAGCAGTACAAACATCCACACACTGTGTTACCAAGTAATGCCCACCTGACTGAGTTTGAATTGTGGAAAGTGGAATTTGTGACACGAGGCTTTAGTAAAAATCCATCAATCATTTCCTCCAAGATGGTTAAGATTTTTGTTTTGTTTTTTTCTTTGCATATTTTGCGAGTTTCACGCAGCTTTCAGGAACAGGTTTTAACCTCATACTCATCTACTTGCAGAGGCATGACTGGCATCTATTAGTGCACTAATTGATTAGCAAGCTTTGCAAAGTCAATGGCATTTCTTAAATTGCTGGCACAGCTATCAAATTTACAATTAAAATGGCCGTTTATACTGTTAAACACGTGTCCTTTAACATGAACAACCACAGAGAAACTGTTTTGCAATTAACTAGAAAATTAGTACTTACTAATACAACTACAGTTTCATGCAGTGTGTCCATATCCCCGAGCACACTAAACCACTGATCATGTTAAATGGTTACTGGGGCAGCCAGCAATATGAACAACAAGACCATCTGTGAGGACGTCATTTTCCTCCTTGTATAAACATACCCATCATAAACAAGAATCCCACTGGGATATGGAGCGTCAGTGTAAGCCAGGCAGGAGTGAACCAGCAGCACAAGTGTGGACTCTGAGGGGTCCTTCAGGCTAACCTCCACATAAACTGTTCTGCCCTGCAAGAGGCTGAGAGGGAGGTGAGCTTCAGGGTGGTAGCTGGTGAAAGACTCATCTGCAGGGAAAAAGAAAAACGCTTTAATAAAGTGTTTAAGAATACTCTGCCTACTGGCTCCACGCTATGATCTGGTGCTTGAACAGAACACATGTTAAAGAAAAATTACCTTCGGCAATTCTCAGTTGCACAGTGACAGCGGCTGGTGTTGGCTGTGAGAGAGGAAGAGGAGGCTGTTCATCCATCACATGAAACTTCACTTCACCTGGAGAATCTGCTGAGGAACTACATCCCACCATAAACCTGTGGAGGGAAGGAGACTGACACATACGAATTTTTTTGAAACAATACACATTTGAAAAGCAGCTGTTGATCAAAGCACTGCTTAAAGAACAAAAACAAAATGAAAGAGAACATAATGGAAACAAGAACAAGCTGAGGATGAAGCCTTGATGGCGCACTTGTGAGATTAGAAAGCCTTTTACAAGATCCTGGTATCTTATTTACCTAAAGGCAGCTGGTTTGGTGTCAAACTGTGCGCCACACAAGAAGCAAGTGACTATGTAAATACAGAAGCCGTGGAAAAACATTTACCACCACAGAGAAAATACAGAATGGCCACTGTGCAGTGGGCCAGGTACATAATTCAGTTGTGAAGATCTAATATTTATGAGATTTTGATGAGTGTCATAACAGCTGGGGGAGGCATCTTTTCTGAGCAGCTGAGACTAAGTCATTTTCATCTTTCACTTCCTATTGAACCCATCGACAGCTGAGAGTTTTAAATAGGGATGAGAAATGATATAAAACGAGGTACTTCTCTTTCATGTTGCAATTTGTCATTAAAGGAAATATAGTTAAAAATATCAATGTGTTGGAATCAGCACCCTCCATCTGTCAGCTGAAAGTGAACAGTTTAAAGATTGGACGATTGTCATGGCATCAAAAATGGTGGACATGGATTAAAGCTGAAAACACTTTGCCTCCATGTTGGACACCTGTGGACAAATAGCAAGTACTTTTTTTTTTTTTTTTTTTTTTAATTTCCCCACAAAACACTGGTTGAGAAAGATTGAGCACATTTGCTCAAACTGTTGACAAACCACAGAACAATGACTTTGCTTTTCCTCACTTCCTGTTATAAATCACCAAAAAGTAAAAAATATTTCCCAAACAAAAAAGGTAAACTTTCGTACAAGTAGGAAAAACTTGATTCATTTCGATAATTGTAGCTCATGAAAGTCAAAGTCCAGATAGAATCCAGTATAGCATTATCAAGGTATTTCAAGTTACTATTCAAACAGTTTAAATATTGTATCCTTGTCCAAGCACACAAGCAGGGTCATGTTGAGGTCAAATCAGAAGTCTGACAACCTTCAGACAAACGGGAGTATAAACCACAGAAGGATTTTGCAGAAACGGCGAATATTTAAGAGAAAACAATCTTTCCTGCTACAGCTGAATGCTTAAAGCTAAGTACTACAAGGCTGCTGGCAATTGTTACAAAAGCAAGTTTCCTGTAAACAGCAGTGACATACCTTAAAGGAGAACTTTCATGTGCAGAATTGCCGTTTTGGTAAGGATGTAAACCTCGAACTTCCAAAAGATGAACCACCGTCTCGCCAAGCATCTATCAAATAGATATATATATATATTTTAAAAAGTTTTAATTTATTCTGCAACAGTGGTGTGTGTTTGTCCATTTTTCCTTCTTTTTGGGGGGTGGGGGGGTCTACATGATGTGATAACATAGGAATGTGCCTTACATGTTTGTTTACTCCGCAGCCATCCAGAGGTACAATGTAGATGTCAAGATCAGGGGTCAACCTCTGCAGCGTGCAGGAAGCATTAATGTCCTCAGGGGAATGAGCCGGAGGAGCAACTGTGGGCTGTACTACAGAGTCAGGCACCGCAAAGACGCAGTACTGTCCCACTGTACAGCCTGCCGACACACATACAGAGTGGGAAATAATTATTGGATCCCCTGCTAACTACAAGAAACATTGTGCCGCTGTGCTTGCAAACAAGGATCTCACCACCAAGCACCAAGTCATGTTTTGCTTGGGGATCAAATACTTATTTAAGGCTTCAAGCCTGAGAGTCATTGCATTAGTCATTTGCTTTCCCCCTTTACAGTCGTCATCCTTTTAGACAAGTGTTTACAAGCTTTGTATTGTGTGAGACTTACCCTTCACAGTGTTTGAACAGCAGCCTAAAGAGTTACTGCAATCAGTATCTGACACAGATCCAAGGCCGCAGGGTGAGGCGGAGGGCGTGTACGTGTGGGCCTCGAGGTAATCTGAGAGGAAAGCAAACAAAACAAGGAGAACTTCTTATGGATGACTCAGCAGCATGAGATGGAAAATATGCAATACAGGTGTGTAATTACAGCCACAACATTAGGCCGAGGGTTTCCTGCCCCCTTGTGGTGGTGATCTGAAGTCAAAACACTGGTTTTCTGTTTAAGCACAACATTTCAGTGCAGTCAAACTAAAACTGTAAGACCAAACATTTAAACTGCAAGGCATTCAAGATTGATAAACCCTTAAATGTGATCATTTACCTCTCACTTTGTCTAGATTCTCTTTCGCATCTTCATCAGGTTTCTCAGATTGCTCATTATGGTGCTGCTGAGTAATATAATGTGAATATAAACTATGGAAAGGATTGTGCAGTGGCGGAGGGATGTTAAAATATCCTGCCATCATGCCATAGTCAAAGTCTGAGGGAAGCTGAGATTTAGCAGATTTGTTTTCAGAGTTTATGCTGCCTGTAGGATGGAGCTCGTTGCCTTCGGGCACTTTAGATGGGTAGTATAGATAATAGAAAGGACTATGCATCCAGTTATGAAAACCATACACTGATTGTGCAGGTGGAGTCAGATGTTGAGCCGGAGCAGAAGGTGCTTGAAGAAGATGGGGTGAAGCTGGAGAAACTTGGTTTCCAGGTCTGTAATACATCTGAGAGTAATGATAATAAGGGTGGTAGTAGTACTGGTAAGGATTTAGTTGATTGATGAATGATTGAGTGTGAGGAGGGCGTTGTTGAGGCTCAAGTCTATGATGGGGACCTTGTGAGACTGGAGGCAGCACTGCAGGAGACACCGATGCAGAGCGACTTGCATCTTTGTGCTCCAAATGTACTTTAGCAGACAAATTAGGATGTTTGATCTGCTCTGTGCTATATTTTTCAAAGTTCTTGTGTGCTTTTATGTAGGCATTCATGTTGTGCTCATTTACTGGAAGAATTTGTGAAGGAGGAAGTGGTGAGGAATTCGACAAGTTTGTTTCTCCAGGCATGTCGGGATGTGATGGAACCAGTCTTTCAGCCTCAACCCTTGAAATATGTGGAAAGTAATAGTAGTAAAGATATGGGTTTAGAAGGTGAGGAGCATGAGTTTCAAGGGTTTTGTCAACCAATTTAGCATTTTCCGGTTGGGCGTAGGGATAAAAGGTAGTCTCTGACACAGGTGGAGGGAACTGGTCCGAGGTGACTTTCCTGATGCTCTTAGACTGTTCAACATTGGGGGCCAAAGCTGAAAATTCATGTTTACGCAAGTGAGCTGAAGAGATTTCGTGAGAAACATCCAGACCTGAATCAGGGTTTTGAGGTTTGCCAGAAAGGGGGATTTTGGGGTGATGGTAGTAGTGGTAGTATGGATTGAAATCGTGTCTCAGAGGCTGGAAATGCGGCACTTCGAGCTGAGCTGGAAAGCCTGTAGGTGTGACACTGTGCTTCTCAGAGAACGCCAAAAAAGGAGTTTCTTGATTTTTTCTTCTTTCTGGGTTCTCCCGACGTAAATCTTCCATTTCTTCAACGAGTGACGGAGGACTGTCATACGGCTCCCAGAAAGGCATCTGGTAGACGTAGTAGGGTTGATAATCTGGCTGGAAATCAACAGGAGGGTGAAGCTGAGAGCTAGAAGTCGGCTCAGGAGTCAAAGATGCTGGAGTAGGAGAATCATATGAAGCATGTACTTTAGGACTGGCATAATTATGGTGATATGTAGGGTGAGGATAGTACGGTGGAGCCAGGTAGAAAGGAGGGGCCCATGGAAAAGGCTCCTGAGCCCCTAACATAGGTTCTTCTGCCCCCCTGGTTAGATGAGCTGGGCTGTTGACCAGAGGCTGAGTGTTAACGGAGAGCTCTTCAGGAGAAGACATAGGGCAGGCAAGTGTGAAGATTTCCTTGCCTATCTGGAGAGGAAGTATATATTCTCCATCCTGGAGGAGGAAAAAACAAAAACATTAAAAGACCACAGGAAATGACAATATGCACATGTAGTAATCATCAGATACGATGATTATGCTGGAGAACCAGATGGGCTAAAGAGTCTTGTCTAGTCTGTCTTGTGTATAGTATGCTCTGAAGTTCACCTTTTCTGTGATGCCACATGTAATAAACGGAGCAGCAATTACAGTATCTGCATCTTGCTTAGCCAAAGTGTAGCCACACTGCTCAGCCAACAGAGCTAGAGGGGTCCAATCTCCTCTCACTGCAGACAGAAGAGAAATAAAAGTTCATATTTGATTCAACATATGAGGGCAAAAGGCTAAACTATTATCTAAATTAAGTTTGATGCCAATAGAAAGAAAGGGGAGCCTACCATTTACTCTCTGCTTCTCCAAAGGAGTCGATTCATGTACTTTGACAGTCATCCCATGTGAAGAGCAGCAGAGGGAGGATAGCCCCACAGTGTGAGGGCTGATCTGAGAGACTGGACAGGACATCTTGACCGGGGTTCCCCTCCATAGCAGGGGCAGCACATAACTGCCATCCTGAATAAAAGCAGAGAGCATTTATACCACCCTTGGCTAAAAACACCCCACCTTAGACCATACATGCTCAGGATTTTAAAAGAAACATTTGCCAGATTCAAAGATTATTTAACGTGAATGTACAACTCATCTGATCAGTCAAAAGGAGGAAGGTTTTACAAAAAACTCAGTTTTTTTTCTAAATAACAACAATTAGCCCAGTTTTGGACATTTTTCATATAATTTGACACTTAAAACTGTATCAATGCAGCCATAAACAAACACACTACATTATTTTTTGTAGTTTTGGCTGTTTTGCCTCTCTGGCTTTAAAAGGGGAAAAAAAAAAAAAAAAAAAAAAAAAAAAAAAAAACATGTGATTGAAGTGTAAACTTTACTAAAAAATTGCATTAACTCCTTAGGAATAACAGTCATTTTTATACACAGTCCAACATTTTTCAGAGGTTCCACATAAACTGCTTAGACTTGGGGACAGCAGAAACTTTACAAGTGGAAAAATCAATAATCTGGTGCAGTGTTAAAAAGAATGACTGCATTGACTGGCTCAGCTGCAACAACGGGCCTGGAAGACCACAGAAGACAACTAAAGTGCATGATGACAGAATTATTTCCATGGTTAAGAAAACCAACTGCACAACATCTAAGCAACTCAAGAACACTCTGGAGGAAGCAGACGGGTCATTGTCAAAGTCTAAAACAAAGAGAAAAGAGTTTATGACAAGACAAAACCTAGTAATACAAACACAACAACATGGCCACATTAGGCTTTGTCATAAGACATCTAAAGAGCCTGCACAGTTATGCAAAAAACAACCTTTAGACCCATCAAACCAAGAACTCGTACCAGAATGATGGGAAGAGGAAAAATGGCTTGTGATCTGAAGCACGCCACATCATCTGTCAAACACGGTGGAGATAATGTGGCACAAATTTTGTTCAGACAGAAAAAAAATAAAAAATAAATAAAAAAATCCAACTACCAGGAAATATTTACAGCTTCTTTTGAGAAGAGCAAATATTAATTTAAATGTTTTGTTTTTTTTCAAATCTGGATGCGTGTACCACTGTGCATGCAGCAAAACTGTGGAAGAGTTTGAATGCAGAGTTGAAGCAATGCCAGAACAAAGAAGTTCAAAAAGGAGTTATAAAGATATGATTTTCATGAGAAACAGATGTTGTATTTAAGTGAATGTCTGTTTAGTACGTTTGTTAGTCGTACTTATTCTGATTTTCCTATCAACATTCCAAAACTGGAGGTATTTTGCTTAGATGCGTGAAAGTTATAGAGTTTCATAAAGAAAATGTAAACGATCATTTAAATTTCACATATTTTAATAACAGAATATGTACTCTGTTTAAATCACTTTCTGTGTAATTTTTGAGTTATACTGCTAAACTGATTGGACAGCTCACAGTGCACAACACAGACATCACATCTAGATCGTGTAACTTAATTTACTGTGGTGGCGTCTGAAGGCAAAGTTACAAAAACTGTTTCAAATTTTTTTTTAAGAAACGTAAAAAATTAAAATCTAAGTGTAGCACACAGACACACGCACCTTTTGAATGACATGACAAGCGTAATATGGAACCATCAAACGGAGGTCTCTCCATGTGGTCTGAAGAGTATAACCACACTGTGGTGGTAGCTGGGACAGAGGCACCGATGATTCAGTCGCTGGGACACAAATAGACGACACAAAATCTTAATTTTACTAATATTAAGAAACTGTTTGGGTTTCCCAAGAGAAACCTTAAAAAAAAGAAGAAAAAAGAAGAAAAAAAAAAGAAACACTGCAATATAGTGCAAGTATAAAATCCAGGCTACTGGAGCGCATAGACATGCAGAAGGTGTAGCATCACCTCGGTCCAGCAAGAGCTGTGCAGCTCGTCTCCTCCTGACAGTGAGGGTCATGCCGTCCTCCTCACACTCCACCACAGGGAGCAGCCTCTGCCAGCTCTCCACTGTGCTGCTGACCCGGTGACCCCTGAGCCTTGTCTGGCTTCCCAGAGACCGGACTGGTAAACAAAAACAAACCACCTCTGAGAATATGGTGTTAGTGTGAGGATTATACAGAATGTAAAGTGTGTGTGCGTGAGTGAAAGAGGGGGAAATTGGGAGTTTCATGTAGCAAACTAATGGATAAGAAAACTGGACACAAAATGCCTCTTATAGTGAAAAGATTCGTTTTAGTGGTAGAATAGTTTCTAATCATCATGAGGGATTAAAATGTACCAACTACTTTATAAAAATGACTAAAATTATCAAACTGGTTTCGTTAGGGATTGTATTAAAGTAGCAAAGTAAAACGCAAGCACAGTGAGGAGGAGCCTGGGGTCAGGTGAGTTCAGGACAGTGGCTTACCTGAAGCAGAGGACTCTGATTGGTAGTCGAGAGTTGGGACGTTTGGCTCCAGCTGGCCAGCGATGACAAACTTGCCGTAAACTACGTGCTTAATTTTCCCCTCTCTGCAGTCTCCATATGAATAAACCGGCTCGTCCTCGGCTTGCCTGGGGTTGTGACGGTCACTGACACCTGTAGGACCCGAAGAAGACGCCATTTTGGGTCTTAGTCTCTTCTCGGGCTTTTCTTCGGGGCTGCTGCTGGGTTTCTCTTTCCTGCTGTGGAGGTCGTCAGAGTTTAGGAGGTCTTCTGCGCGCCTTGAGCCGAGGTCCAACCGCTCTCCGACGTCAGGGCCGGAGGAATGACTGCTGCTGCTTTCCGTAGTTAAATGACCTTTGCTGTCATCAGGAGGAGAATTCGATTGGAAGGAGGACGCAGTAGGCTCACACCGGCTTACTAGAGGCAAAGCGATTGTTGTGATGGTGTAAATAAGCACAACACCGAAGTATCCTTTATGTTTGAAATGCATTGCCAATACGCGTTTTTGTCTTTGCACCAAAACACTGGGACGGAATGAAGGGCGGCAGTGTTTTTGTAGACTTCCTGTCAACGCACCTGGTCACTTAATTAGCCTTAATTGGCAAAGAGGCACGCGCTCTTACCCGTTACTGTCCCAAGTGTTTATGTTGGCGCTGTTAGCATCCAGCTGCTAATCTAATACCTTTTCCGTCTAGTTATATAGCGTGTGGGATATTATCAATTTAGCATACTACTAGTTAGTCTTATTTATATACTTTCCTTAACACACACAAGATATTTCGTGTTTGTCTTGAGGGTTGTTTTTTTTTACTGATTTGGTCACACACTGTGCATAGACATGATTGTGAGTGATGTCTCGGAATAATCTGGGTCTTATTGCCAAAATTAAAATAGCATTGTGTCGCTTCAGCGATCCTGGTTTTGACTGTCACGAATCTTAAATGTGTATTTACGTCTCTGTCCACTAGAGGGCAGCACTGCATTGCACAAAGTCACCGAAGATTTGAAAAACATTATTTTATGAACCCTACTGAAATCATGTAGACTTAATAATCTGTAAGTCTGGCTAACTGTGTATGTTTCATCTTCTAATACAGTTGAGTAGCTGATTTTTTTTCTGGACATGCATTTGCTCAGCTACACATGTGGCTCTGTCTTTCTGATAGATGCCATTTCATCCCTGAAATTCAGATCATTTGACCCCTGCCCTCTTTTTTTGTAAGTCATTTATTTTTATCTGCTGACAGAAAAATTAGTCAGAGGCTAAAAGTAACTCACACTGGAAGAATATTTCCCCACATAACTCCTGCTTTTACTTGCAATGACTCCACTTCCTTTCATTCATTTGCATTTTGCATTTTTTTTTTCCAAACTGCGTTCATTTTTAATAACTTGCTGATAAACTCCCTTTGGAGAGACCTGCTCTTGGAAAAGACTGTTTAATGGCTTTGTCAGCAGAGAAAAACTGAACCGATCAACTGAGAAAGACGGTCAGCGATAGTTTGCCACCAACTCCATTCGACAGGCAGTGAGTGTGGAGCTGATATCAGTCATGCCATCAGATTGTGGTTCAGATCAACTGACGCCAGAGAGGGGCTGCGTCCTTACAGCATTATCATCAGTGCTGTGTTTCCGCAGCTACCATGAAGTTTAGAAGAGACTGCAGAGATAATGTTAACAGCTACGCTTCTTAAAGAGGACCCAGAGCTCTGTGTGTGTGTGTGTGTGTGTGTGTGTGTGTGTGTGTGTGTGTGTGTGTGTGTGTGTGTGTGTGTGTGTGTGTGTGTGTGTGTGGCGGCGGCGGCGGTGGGGGGGTGTTGATCAGTTGATGGGCGCGGCAGTGGGATGACTCATATTTGGAGTTGCCTAGCTACAGGCACGAGTTGTTTTCTTTAGAGTCAGAGCATGAGTACAGTGTGCATGTCTGGCTTTCATTGAGATCGCAGGGCTTTGTGTGGGAGGCATAAACGCAGGGGTGACACCGAGCAGGAAGCGGGAGGAGCAGACATCGTCCCAAAGAGAAGAAGAAACCACGCGGGGACAAACTGGAGTTAAATGTAGTAATAAGAGCAAAGGGAAAGAAGGGGGAGGGCTACGAAAGCGCGCCCTGGGTGAGGAAGTGAATCAAGAATGAAAACCCCTAGCCAGTAACCATGGAGACAGTTTGGCTCAGCTAAATATGAGGCATTATCTTTTTTCCCCTTCTTTTTTATTAAATGTAAACGGTAGCTAGGGCACCACAGTCGACACACAAAACGTTCACCGCACACAAAGTTGTTCTGCAGCCTTCAAAAGTGAAGTGGCTCACATCCACTGTAGAAAACCTCGGCTGTGTCGAGTTCATAATAGACTCCCGAAGCTGCTCCTGTCTCACTTTTCTATTCAAACCACTGGCAGGCAGCCAGCGGGGCACAAGCAAATGCTCAGAGATAAATTCTCTTAGCTGTGCGTTTAGCCGATTCTTTGATGTCTTAATTTGATTTTGATGGCCCTTCACACAGTGTTTACCTCTGTTCTCAGCTTCTCTTCTCCTGCTTCAATAGGTATTGCAGTGTTTGCTCAAATATACAGTGTATGTTGTAAATAAAACAGTAAATGAATAAATAAATCTCTTGTTACTAAGCAGGCGAATAAAAAACAGAACAATATGTTGTAAAGCACCTACAAGTATATGTTTAAAAGGAAATTGTACAAATAAGCATTAGACGTCAGTTTAAAGTATTTAAAATTGTTCATATCAGCCACTAACAGTGCGTACAGCTGTATGTTCAAAACCACACTATTAAAAGTGAGATGAAATCGTTGAAATTAGATTTTTTTTTTTGTAATGTGGAAATTTTGAAATAGATTCAACTGTTTGAATCAGAAACTAAAAACATGTGTGCTTCATAACGTAGTATTTAAAATGTAGTTAAAAATATGCATGAATGAATATGCAATTTAAATAATTTGCATCATCGGGCACCAACAATCTGAAATTATGTTTTCAGAATAAAGATTAGGTTGAACTCAGGATTGTTTTTAAAGAAATGAGGTTATTTTTCAGGTGTATCTTTTCAGCTGCTCGTTAATAGAAATAGCTAATCAGCTGATCTCATGGCAGCAGGTCACTGCATGTAGACATGGAGAAGTTCAAACTAAGCATCAGAATGAAGAATGAAGGTGATTTAAGTGAATGTGGCATGGTTGCTGGTGCCAAATGGGCTGGTCTGAGTGAATCAGGAGCTGTTGATCTACTGGGAAAATGTCCAGAAAGCAGCAGTCCTCCGGGTAGAAATGTCAGTGTTGGGTCAGACGACTGGGCACACTCCTTTGACCTGTGGCATTCAGATAGTAGGGTCTGAATTTGGCGTGAACAACATGAAAGCATGGATCCATTCTGTCTTGTACCAGCGGTTTAGGCTGGTTGCGGTATGTAACGATGTGAAGGATATTTTCATGCCACATTTCTGGCCCCTTTGGACCAACTGTGCATCATTTAAACACCACAGGCTGCCTGATTATTGCCGCCCACCATGTCCATCTCTTTATAACCACACCGTGCTTATCTTCTCCTGGCTGCTTCCAAACAGGACAACACACCACACCGTAACAGTGGGTTCACTGTAGTCAAATGGCCCCCACAGTCACCAGGTGTGGTTTAACAGGAGATTCACATCATGGATGTCCAGCAGCTGTGTGACGCTGTCATGTCAACATGGATCAAAATCTCTGAGGAACGTTTCCAGCACTTCATCGAATCTATGCCACGAAGAATTAAAGCAGGTATGAAGGCAAAAATGGGGTCCAACCTGGTACTAGTAAGGTAGCAAGCTAAGGTTTGGTATGATTTGTATATAAAAAAGAAATAGTTCGTATTAAAAATCCTGAAACCTTTTGAGCTGTTTATGTCAGTAGATGCTAACACTGTGTACAGCTGTGTGTCGGGTATGAAGACTAACACCTTATTATAGTGTAACTTTGCTTAAATGGTAACATGTATTTTAAAATTGAAAAACTGGGGCCAGTTTTGTAAAACAATGGTTATTTTTGTCCATATTTATCAGGTCTTAGAGAAAAAGAACACCTGATTAAAAATTAGTGTCGTAAATAATATGAATTAACCCACTTTTTTACATCACAGGTGTTACCCTGCTGCTCATTTTGGTTCCTAAATGAACGGTATCTTAAATGTCTTTGTCTAAAGAAAGACTTTTTAAAAAAAAGTTTTACTGGAAACTGAAACTGATGACCATCTCGCCCCAGAGCAGCAGAGAAAAGGAGGGTGGGAATGGAAACTCTGTGTGTTGGTGTGTTTCTCTGTCTGTGAGTAACTCCCTTAGAAGTTGATTAATTTGGAGTACAGTTTGTTCATATTTGCTTTTCTCAAGATGCTCTGCTCACATATCCCTGTGCTTATAAACGCTTTTATGTACATGTGACTGAGCGAGCGGCTCACGCCTTGGCTGACATGCCTGTTCCGGGGCTTTTCATCAGAACCAGTCTGGTGACACCGGGAGCAGAGATAAGGGTGATGGTGTACTTTTGAAATTACACAATTGCCCCTTGGCAAATCAAGAGTTTCAACATCAATTTTTTTTCTGGCCCCTTCGTTCACTCTGGCTTCTTCCAAGGAGTCCCAGTCACTGTTTTTATAGGAGAGGTTTAGAAATCTCAGAGCAGGGTGTGACTAGGGTTGCCAACTCCCTGAAAAATAAATAAGGGACACCTCATGGCCAGGGCTGGGCAACCCAGTTGTCTTCACCCTTCCCAGTGTGGTAGCTCTTTTTTTGTGTGTGAAATTATTTTTTAACCATTTGACTTGAACTTGATTTAAGCAGATGCATATTCTTTGTGATATGACTATATGTGAAACAAATGATCATTAGCCATTATTTTAGCTCAAAATGACAACATAACACAATAAAACAGTCTCTTTCTAACAGAAGCCTTCATGCTTAACTTTGAGAATATAAGTAAAATCTTCTTTAAAAGAACTCTGTCCTGCTTAACTAAATTTATAAATAATAGAAAGCAATAGAACAAAAAAATATCTTGTAACAGTGCACATATAGTGCATTTAGTACAGTTGGCTTCACTGAGGTATTATTCAGCTTTCTAATGCTAATCAGCTGCTCTGTTTGTAAACCCGCTTGTTCCCATGATTACGCATCATAACTCATCATCATTATTCATCTATGTATTACTTTTATGTATTAGTCATCTATTTGTTGTAATCATTTATCCTTGCAGTTGTTTATTACACAAAATAAATTACATTATTACACTTCTGGCCACATAGCGCTGATATTCACTGCACATGCCCATCATAACCTTAACCAGAGGGTTTAAAAAAACAAACCAGTGTTTTCATACCATATCTGCTTCTGCCATGCCTGGTGGACAAGAAATTGGTAAAGGTTCCCCGAGCTTTCACGCCCTCTGTTCTTCATGTGCCCACCATTAGAAGCATGCCTATGGAAAAAGTGCGCCAGCACACAGTGCAGTGCGCTTTATAGTGCACTTTTCCAGCCAGGTGTTTTCCTTTTCCCATTCCTCCCAGTACTTTTGCAGCCTTTTTTCTTTCTCTGAGCGAACAAACATTGCTGCTCTAACGCTGG